TGTGGTGTCTGAAAATTCCAAATTTTTACTCTTTTACAAATGCCCAATGATATGACTGGTGGTAAAGAAGGAGAGAAGATTGAATTGGTTGCTAACATTTAATGAGATATGAGTTTATCCAATTAGTCAATCAAAGGATTCTCCCTAACTATTAATTCTTGAGATTAGGATGAAAATAATGAGAGAAGGAGAAGGCAAGTTTAAAGATTGAGAACTTAGTTATGGTTAAAACTGTGCAAAAAGAAGAACCCAAAAATAAAAGACATACAAGAAAGAGAAAAGGAGAGGACATGTATGTATGCATATGTGTGTGTGTGTGTGTGTGTGTGTGTGTGTGTGTGAGAGAGAGAGAGAGAGAGAGAGAGAGAGAGAGAGAGAGAGAGAGAGAGAAAGAAACACCTTTTCTCAGGCAATGCTTTGACATATCTCTCCATTTTCATTAGCATAGAGTCACACTACCATTCCTAACTATTAAAAAGGAAAGCAACAATAGGTATAGAAATGATTGAGGAGTGCCCCTTACTTATTCTGTGACCTCACGAGATGATGACCTTTGGATCCCTTGTTTTCACAATGTGACTTCGAGTAAGACACACATTATCTCAAGCACAGAGGTTCATTTTCTTTTCTGTAAATTGTAGGGTTTTTTCTCTCTGTAAATTGACTTTTACACCTCCAACAGTCTCCAGTTTTGTGAAATAAAAAATTATTATTTATACTATAATTGCACTATAGCAATCAATAAGAATGGAAACTAGTGAAATTACTCAATAAATTTTTGATATTTTAATTTCTAAAAATGAAAATGAGGCAATCTACATTTTATAAATATATCAAGTTACTCTTTTTTTTATCTCATCTTATAACTTAGTAATATTGAGTTATCCTATATAGAAAAATAAAAATTTTGCTTTTTTTTCACTTTAGTGTTTTTGAGTTGTTTGTTTTAATGTTTGGCACATGCCTTACAGCATCTTGTGGGCAAAATCCAACAAACAATAAGTGAGGTTTTCTTCCAGGATATATGAGGTAAAATATTATTAATTAAAAAGATTTCAGAAATTTTATGTATTTTAATTAAAACAGTTGACTTCTCAACAAAACATCGTTATTTTAAATGAGTGGATTATTTCCATGTGATTTACTAAAAGATATAAATAATTCACCATTGATAGTAATTATCATGTATTATTTGTATTGTGAATGTTCAATTTTTGTCCTTGGTCTATTTTCTTTGAAGATGTATATCATTTCTTACTTACATATGAGCTCCTACATAGAGTAATTTTTACTTATCTGTCTTATTTATACAAAAGTTTTATCTCAGTTCATTGTTTATTTTTAGTCTTGTGCTATTCATTGCTTTAAATAATTTAAATGTCATATTTTATGGTTAAATTTATCAATGGTTAAGGTTATATTTCTGGTTTGTTGTCTTATGTAGTCTTTCCCATCTTAGGGTTATGAAAACTCCTACCTATATTTCTGTCTAGCATTTTATGTTTTAAGCTTTTACATTTAAATGTTGAATCCACTGGGAATATATTTAGTTGTAAGGAGTTAAGTAAAGGAACTGATTAATTTTGCAACATGGCCCACCAGATATACTAGCCTTGTTTCTTAAAAAATCCTTCATGCCTAGAAAAGTATATGGTGTGTTAATTTATAGCATTATGAAGTTTTGTAAAATAATCACACATCAAACCATGACTGAGGTGCAGAAGCAGAGTAAAGCCAGAATCCCAAAAGCAACCTCTTATCTCTTGCCAAATACCCCACATACCCACCCCAACTCCCACCTGAAAAGATGACCATTATTCTCACTTTCTTGGTAATCAGCTCTACACCTGTCTTTAGTTGTCCAGCTAACCATATATTCCTAAACATTAAGGTATTTGGCCTTACCTGTTTTGAAATTAGATCATCTAATGTTTATTATTTGTGGCTGGCTTCTTACACTCTACATTTTTAAGATTTAAGCATGATGTGCAAGCAATGGTGCTTCCTTCATTTTAATTGTTGTACAGTGTTCCATTTGAGAATATAGTTGTTATTTATCTATTCTATTATTGATAAACATTTGGGATATTTTTCCTTTGAGACTACTTGGAATAGTGTTTCTCTGATTCATCTGGAATATCTCCTGGTACAAATGTGTATGCTTTTCTCTAGGGAATATAGCCAAGAATTGAATTTCTAGTTTATATATTATGCATATTGACTTACCAGGCAATGCTAGTCTTCCCAAATATTATACTAACTTATACTTTCACTAGCTGTGAAAACATATCAAACAAAAACCTGCTTTGTACTTCCAAAACACTGCCAAACTTATGGTCATTTTTTGAATGCTTGTTTATCTAATTAGTTAGGGGAAGAATCTCATTATGGATTTAGTTTTCATTTCCCATATGCTCAAGAGGAGAAGGTCATTATACAATATATGTCTAGTGATCATGTGAATTTTCCATTAAAACAAATATTGAAAAACTTTAACCATTAAATAACATGACTTATTGTTTCAGAATAAATTTTTATAAAAAAGCCAATAATTTTGCTCAAAACAATTTAAGATTTTGATACTTACAAATCATTCTACAAAATTTGCATTTGGAGTTAACACTTAGCAAAAATAAATTGGAAATTATATAGCATAGCACATATCTTTTGTTTAACATTAATAATATTATCTAATCAAATTATTCACACAAAACAGGTTGTTAATAATTATTGAATTTCCTATAGGAGATATTTTAGAGTAAGTGCAGCAAGACTTTAAATTTTAATCTAATATTTGTGGCAAACATAAACACATCTTAATTATTGTGAGAAATTTTAAAGTAAAAAGATCTAAATTGAGTGAGATGTATTTTATTTGTTAAAATGATTTCTTGCACATAGAGCTATATACTATGCTTCCTGTAAATGTATTGACTTAGAGTACTTTTGTATTTGATATGAATATCAAATTTGAAATGTTTGAGTAAAATATATTTTGATAAAAAAAATCGTAGCTATTTACTGTATTTCATTACTCTTCTTTGCTAGTAGTTTGTCTCTGTCTCCACAGTCTGGATTATTATTATCATTCACACATCCACTTATGCATGCCAGAAGGTAACTGGGCTCAGAAGATCTGGTTTCTAGCACCAACACTGCCAATGTCTACTTCCCTGACTTTAGGAAAATCCTTTAGCCTCAGCATGCTTGAGTTTCCTCATCTATTAAATAAATTACAGCAAGTCATGGACCTTCCTGACATTTTACAAAAAAAATAAATGTATGCTGGTATGTTCTTCCAAGGAGAGATCTGAAGTCTACCAGTTATAGTTCTTGATAGCAAACAATAGAAACCAACTTTATGAACTGGAATGAAACAGGATTGAATTAGAAGGGATTAGGCGCAGAATGCAATGCTGGACAATCACTCCAGCTAAGCAAGGCACTGCCAAGACCAGCCCCTGCTGCCACCACTTTTGAACTCTAGCTGCTGTGTGCCAAGCTCACTGCTTCTGGACACTCACTACTGTGCTGTTGTACAGACCCTGTGCCCTTGAAGTCACCCTCAAAAAATCAAAGCCCTGCCAAGAGTATCTGATGTGTCCCTGTCTTGTCCACTGTCAAGTTCTGCTGAACTTGGGGGACTGTCTCCAAGTAGAAAAACAGACAGGTTGAAGGGCAGCCAGAACAGGAGTATCTCTTACCATGTCTTTCACCAGTTTCTCCAAGGAACCGCGACCCCCCGACACTTTTGCCAGAAAATATAATAAATCACTGCATTGGATTATCTTTCATGACAGCTCTGAAATTATATGATTCTAAATACTAATTTTCCTTCTCCCACTCTCTACCAACTCGCAATTTTTTTTTTAACAAGATACAAATGCAGCAACAGAATGACTAACGACAGTGTGGGGTCAGCCCTGAAGCATCTCATGATCATTTCAGTGGGTGTATAATTATGATGGCTGGCTAATGACAGAGAGTAACAGATGTCTCAAAGTAGTTACCCAGCTGAAATTTTGGCAAACTAGTCCAAATTCCTCCAACAAAAGGAATTTACTCTCTTGTATAGTCTTCTGGTGCTCTGTTATGAGTATACTAAGGTGTAGCATGGCTCAATGGTCAAGTGTACACACTTTAGCATTAATGAGAATGGGTATAAGTTTTGAATCTCCCACTTATGAACTGGATCACCATGGAAAGTAACGTGACCTTAATATGTCTCTGTTTTTTCTTGTTTAGTAAATGATAGTGGTTAGTCAATGGGTGGTATTAGGAAAACAAAATGATGGAATTTAAGAAGTTATAATGGTTGATACATTTTTATAGCTCAGGAAATGATGATAAAAGTCATAATGATAATAGTTAAGGCAGTTCTCAACTATGAACCAAACTCATTCCAAAAAATATTTATATGTTTATTTTTTAAGTCAAAAATGATAAAGATATTTAAGACATGTGCAGTGACACGTGCTCCGTGTTAAAATGTGTTTAGTGAACTATAAAATTAATTCAAAATAATCACTAACATGCCATATTGCAATGTACCAATGAACATGTTTTTCTTCATGTGGTGGATACACCCAAAATAAAAATATTTTTTAAGTGACCACATTAGGCTAAATTTCTCAATATATGTAAAGTCGATTCAGTTACATTCAAATGGTACCGTCAAACTAAGATGAATATGAAATACCCAGAGAGTTTAATAACTGAATTAGTCTTCAAAGATGAAAGAAACAAAAGGTGGACAGTAGTAAAAGTGACTGACTTCCGAGCCAGCAATTGCCACTTTCACTCTCGACCACCTGGGTGTTTATGTCTGACCTTCAGCTTACCATAGGGGGTTCAGAAAGTTATTTGCTGAGCTAGAATCAGGTACGGCCCAGAACTGGTCCGGAGGTCTGTCTGGGTTTAATAGTGTGCTTGTTTCCTTTGAAAGCCATCCTGGTTCTGTGACTCTCCTGATGTACATGCTCCCCCTTTGTATTTTGCAGGTAAATGTGAATGTGGCAAATGCACCTGCTACCCGCCGGGGGATCGCAGGGTTTATGGGAAGACGTGCGAGTGTGATGATCGCCGCTGTGAAGACCTCGACGGCGTGGTCTGTGGAGGTGAACAATTTAGCAGCCTTCCGCTACTGCATGCAACATGCTTCACCTGCCTTCCTTATTCTACTTATCCTTTTTTTGTAAACTGTTGAAAAGAAGATAAACAAAAATTAGTACACAATTCAACCTAAAAGCGATATACAGTTATGTTTGTAATTACCTTTATATTCTTAGACTCTTGATTTAAGAGCATGTGAAAGTATACAGTGCACTATTCGTAAAAGGTGGTTGAGACCAAACTAAATTCTATGGAGATAGTAAAAGGCTTTGCTGCCACTGAACAGTTTAAGGTGATTCTTATTATTGTGCTCATAAATCCTGGGGGAAGTAGGTATCACCCATAAACTTGAAAAATAAAACACACACACACACACACAGTAAGATAGCTTCCTAAGTTTAATTACAAAATCACAGGATATACAATATCTCAGTTCCCATAATGGCTCTGAGACCCAAATAAGAGCTTATGAAAGCAAGAAACTGCAAAGAACAAACAAGACAGATAAAAGGTAATCAGCAAAACTGAGAGTCCCAGAGGTAGAAGGTTGACAGTGTCTATCTGGTCTTCATCCAGGGGAGGGGATTTAGTTGAGATTGTCCCGTCACTGATATTAGTTACCAGAAGTATCTAAGTCTTTTTTTGTTCAGTACAGTATGTGTATTGACTCATTTTGTTTTCATAATGCGGTATAGAAAGCCTGCCTGGCACCTAGAGAAGACCTTGTTATCATTGCCATTTTCTCTGGCATGCAGTGTCTTCCTCACATGGGTCTCCGTGCCCAGCTGCTCTGGTGACTTGTTTGAAATGGTTGATATTGTAGAAACCTCTTATATGTACACATCCTTTACACATTCCAGTGAGTACATTTTTTGTTTTCCTTGTTATTGATCTCTTCATTTTTTATCATGATGAAAGGGCTCCAGGAAGGAGAGGAGAGGGTGAAATATCTCAACACTCACGTTTATCCTAAATAACACAGCTTGTCAATAACTTTCATGAGCTTTCAAGTTTAAGGGTGATACTTACTTCCCCCAATGTATTCAGAGCTGTGATTGTCTGGTCTTCAGTTTTGGGTGACATTGATGATTTCTCCTTTCTGGTCACTCTTATCACACTTGACACTGAGCTATCAAATAAAAGTGACTGTCATTCATCTCAGAAGTATTTTTAGTGCTTCTTCTGTGAAGAAGTTTCTCATGTATTCATCCAAGCATGGAGGAGCACAATTAAGAAGACACACTGGCCATTAGGGTTCCTCAAGCCAAAAAACGCACTGGCAAAGTTTCTGTATTTCTCATTCTATCTAAAAATACCCATTATTATAAGGACACCTCTCTCATTTATTTAATAATATCTTATTATGTATATAGCACAAATTTAATCATATCAGCAAATACATACTGCATACTCATTCCACATAAAGCCTTGCATTGCACTTTAAATACATATGCCCTTAAATATTATTAATCACTAGATGTCATTACCTCTAACCTATATGCTAGCATTCTGCTTGGTTCCATGGGAACTTGCTCTATCTCCAGCCAGTCCATATAAGCAAATCTTCCTAAATTTATTTAATAATACCTAGCTGCCCAATTTCTGATTGATTTTTAGTTCTTATTCTACATGACCACTTTTTAGCATAGAGTTATAGTTACTCTACTCTGAAAGCCCCATGAAATGGTCTCCTTCCTGGGCCTCAGAAATACCTTCCCCATCCATTTCTTCTCAGATTTCTCTCGTAACTACTTAATTTCTTATTTTTGCTCATCTCCCAGAGCTTACCAATAAATCTGTTTCCCTTAAAATTGATGTTGTTGGATGCTATTTCTGCTTGCTATTTGTTGCCCTTGAGTAATCTCAACCACTTCCACTTTCATCTTTAGTTTTCAACTAAGTTGGAAAGGATGGATTATGAATGAACTATTTATGTCTGATGGGAATGCTATGCTTTTGGCTTCTAACTCTACCAGCAGGCAGGTCTCTTGCAGGGTTTCTGGAAGTTATGCTAAGGAATTTTCAGAAAATATTTTAGCTCCTGTGGAGCATGAGGCTTCTTTTAAACCAGAGAAGTCTCAACATCTGTGCAACATGGATCTCAAATCTGTGCATCTGAATCGTGTTATCTGAAGAGAAGGTAATCCCCAGACCACTATGTTGAGTTGTCATCTTCATGAATCCTTGCCAGGATTCCCATGGAGAGGATGGCCCAATATTGTCCAGCTGCCCGGATGTGGTTCCTACCCCATGTCCTTCTAAGGAGACTAGTGCCGAATGGCAATCTTAAAAAGCCCCACTTGCTCCTACTGCTGCCCTGAGGGTACAAGCAGCATTTATAGAAATTCATGGTTTAATAATCTGAGTGAGGAGCAGGGAGGAATCAAAGATGAATCTTGATGGCTTCATTGATTGGGTGGGTGAAAGAAACTATGCTTTTATTGGTCTAATTGCCTCCATTTATTGAAAAAGTGAGCTTTTTCATGGAGGGCAATAGAGATGGACAAACTTAAGTGTGTTAAGATTTTGTTCGTTTTATCTGCATTGTATTCCTTATCTTTGCTTCTCCTTCTAAATTGCTCCTTATCATTTTCCCATTCTTCCAAATCATCTCCTTTGGAACGCCTTTCTGAAATTATTTTATACTTCCTCCATACTGTAATACCTTCATTAAAATACCATCACATTTTATTGTAAGTTCTTTTCTTCAAGTCTACACAATTCTAGTGGATATAATAAAACCTTTTTCCTCTGAAAAATTATTGTATCCTCAAACTTAGAAAAAAAGTTGATGCTTAAGAACTTTTTAGAATAAATTATAAATTAAGGGAGCAACAAGTAAATTAAGGAGTATTGACTCCAGTTTTGGATTAGAGAATTCTTCACATTGGAGTTACCATTTGACGTGGACCTTGAATGGCTAATACCTAGAAGTATGAAAAAAGGATGTGAACATTTTAGGCCTGAGAAAGTTAAGCAAAGGTGAAAAATATTTTGTATGTTGAGGGAAAATATTTATTTAATTTTTTTATATCAGAAATTTTTCTTAGCTGCTCTTGAATTCATCCTTGGAAGGATTTTTTCAAACTATTTACTCATTTATTATTTATAACAGATATTATTTCCCTCCCTTTATTTTACTTTGTTCATCTTTAGATATCAGGACATTGTAAAATATTTTTATATTAATGTTTTTCCTTCAATACTTAATAAAACTAAAATAATATTTAAAAAAAATAAAAATCACCCACAACTCCACCATCCAAAAATAATACCTGATAACATTGTGTTGTATTTCCTTCTAGTTTTTTTTTTTTTTTTTTTTTTTTTAAGGGGTAGATCTCTTTTTGAATCTAGACTTATGAATCTTCTGTGGGTATTTTGATACTTTTTGTAAGGAAAGTCCATATTCTATGGAATGTTGAGTTGCTTCAGTTTGTGTTGGGTACACTCTGCTACATTTTTTTTTTTCACATGAGATTTTAGTGGACAGAAGGAACCATTTTCTTTTAAGCAAAGTGAGGCAACACACCTTGCAGCAAAATGAATGTGAACCTCATATAAAAAAAGACCAGCATTTGGTTTCTGGCTGTTTCCCACTAGTTGTACCCTGTTTCCCGGAAAATAAGACAGTGTCTTATATTAATTTTTGCTCCCAAAGATGCGCTAGGTCTTATTTTCAGGGGATGTCTTATTTTTCCATGAAGAAGAAAACGGTACACATTTATTGTTAAATGAAAATAAAGGAAATTTATTACCTGTATACGGTACGGTAGTATGGTAGTTGTCAACACAAACCAGACAAACTGTGAATCCTACAGTATTAAGAATTTACTCATTTATTCAATGACAATCATGTCATCATCTTCTGGAACATCATCATAACAACCCAATTCCTGAATTTCCTGGTGAATTTCTTGTGACTCCATTTCTTTCAGAATAAGTGGACCAAATCTCTCATGTTTAGCCTGAGGGGGGTGCTTATTTTCAGGGGGATGCCTTATATTTCACTCAGAAGGAAACCTATAAGTAGGTCTTATTTTCGGAGGATGTCTTATTTTCCAGGAAACACGGTAGTAACTTGGAAGGGCCATTTGGTCTTTCTGCCTTGATTTACTCATTTGTACAATAAAGATAATAATCCTCAGCTATTGGCTTTATGTGAGAATGAGACACAAAGAATGAAAAATGCCTCTTACTATGTGATAAGCAGGCAATCAGTGAATGCCCTATGTATGCAATGCAAAGTAGAAGATTCAAGTGTCCATTGCCATAAGAGGACAAAACAATCCATTTAAGATGTATTGAGGCACCAGTTACAAAATGTTTTGGAAGGAAGTTGGGATCTTACAACCCTGCATTGCTGTGTCAGGGAAGGAGTGGCAACTAGTTTGTTCGGAGCCTTTAGTCTCCCATCACTTGGCAGCCAGTGGTGAACGGATCTTACTGCCACGAGTGTGTGAAACTTACTGACATCATCCCTCTGGTGTGGCTTCAGAGGAAGACAAAATTGAGAACCACCAATTTGAGTATTTTTCTCAGTTCACCACCAGACACTGAGCCATCCCTTCTTTAGCCTCTCACCTGGAGGGATGAACTAGAACCCCATGTATCCTCTGTGTGTTCAGAGCAAAATTCAGGTCCCTGACTCCATAGCAGCATTTCAGCAAACAACAAATAACAAAACCAAAAAACATCCATAAGCCTACCTAATCAGCTTATGCGGGAGAACTGATAACCAATGTTGTTTCTCCACCTACCTAACAATAACCCTGAAGATGATTAAACCAGTTCTGGCAGGCTGGGATAAATTAGCAATTGTACCTGAAGGTGAATGTACATAATTATGTAATTCTAAGCAGTTCCGTTTTGATTACACCAAAATTACAACCTGAAAATGACTGGCAAAAAAAGAAAGTCAGTATGAAGACTTTTTTTCCATTTAGTTAACTTATTGGTGAGTCATGTTCAATGATCATAGAAACATAAAAAAAAAATTTACATA